CTGTTACCTGTTGAAAAACCAGTTGCTCTACTTTTGAGCAAAGTCCGACAAGAATTAACAACATTAATGTAAGCGTGGAATTTGGGCATTATGGTAGAATACAACTCGATATTACATAATTTTATTTTATGTGGTGTACAGTGGTAAAAGTAGGACAACTGTATGACGTTTCGAGCACACTTCATTGCTGATAATCATATCAATATATTCACACAGCTTCAAAATTGACTTTAGACAGATGTTTTCTATTCCCCTTGTCATTTATTTTAATTTTGCATACAGCCGGTTTAGGCATTGCATCATTTTGACTGTACGTGTTTAGCGTTGACTTGATGAACGAAGATTCGGTGATTAATGCTCTCTCTCCACCTGACTATATAACTTTTTAGTACTTTCATACTGTCCCAACCTACTGTATGACTGTATGCATGTCAGTGCCTTGAAATGGCTGAATTTTTTCAGGGTTATTTAGCTTAGCAAAGTCAACTATTCTAGCTCTAGCTAAATTCCCACAATCCAATAATTCTGATCTAGTAGTTTGACCTATGTAATTAACTCCACTGTCACTGCATTGTATTTATTAAATTATAACTATTTACAGGATTTCATTACTAGCTGACATCGGCTAGGGAAAGATTGGAAAACCTGGGAGTACTGCCAGACAGCTATCTCGTCCTAGTTGGGGACTCTTCATCAGTACTCAACCATCGGGGATCGAACCCAGGACCTTCCGGTTACAAGATCAACGAGCTCATAGACCACTAATCCACTGGGACCAGATCCAATGACCAAACCATAAATTCCAACGACGTAGCGAATGTCATCGATGGCGAGTACTTGTCCTCACACATGACCTTCTCTTCCTCTCTGGTCACGACTTCGCACCAGAACCCAGGTAACTACCTACCTGAATAGAGCCAGTCGTGACTGAGCAGGGAGAAATCCCGAAACCCATTAAATCCATGCATCTATCAGGTCCTTAAGTCGACAAACTTGACTGATTTAAATACCACCCTAATGCTAGCCTCATTTAAAATCCTACGTAGGGCTTCTGATGTTCTTTTTTTATTTTGCAGTACTGTGGAGGCTCTATATCTCTTAATATTTACAGAAAGGTTTTATTTTCCATATGTATTAGAAATACAGAGATAAATAACGCTGAATCATGCCTACGATTTATTCACGAATAGAGCTGTTTCAAGCCCGGTTGAAAAGGCCGAACAAAAGTGTGATATTTTCACTCTATACATATACTTCAGAAGGCGTATCAAGACCGTTTCAACAACAAACCACTTTATGCTATTAGTCTGTCATAGAAAGCCCCTTGTTTCTCTAGCTAATCAGGAAGAACAGTCTTATTTTTGATCATTGTTTTAAACTCTCTGTTGATATAAAATAGTATGCCTTCCAAAATAAAACAACCAAACGCCCTTGAATTAAAACATTTGAACCAATCAGATTCGAGAAAATGTAGGTGTTCACTGTTTGTGTGGCCATATAAATATTGATTAAAAACAGTTTACAGCTGCTGTTGAATAAGCATTACCAATGTTTACATAAGTTAGCTAATGAGTTTTGTGGAATATCTTTTTTCATTATTTATAAGCTTTCACTTGAAAACAGCCTAATTAAAAAAATATCTCTTTTTATTTGATTTCAACAGTAGACACTAAAATATAATAATGTTTATGTCGTATCTCAGCAGAATGTTGAAGGTATTGATTATCTGCTTTACTCAGAATGGTATTTTGATTAATTTCAGGGTTTTTCGCTGACGTCAAATTGTATACTGCACGAAATGGGACTGACGCTTTCCCATTCATAATAAATTAAATATTCTTCCCAAATTTTATTTCATTGTTTACTGCTTATTTATAAATATTTCATTGATATTTCTGGCTAGGTTTTTGAACGGAAGCCTGAGATCGTATGATATTCTGCTTCCGTAAACATGTCGTCTTTCCCTTCAACCTTAAATTAATGACTGTTATACCTTGATGTTTTAAAAACAAATCCAATTAGCATATTGGTAGATTATCTACAGTTTCAAAATGATTATTATTATTGTTCCCTTGAGTTCCTAGTGAAACATAGGGCTTCAACTGCACGTCTCCACTTGTCACTTCTGTCTTCCATCTGCTATACTTTTCACCTGCTTCCATGTTAGTCCATACTGTTTCAACTCCTCTTCACACCATCTCCTCCATATAACCCTTGCACTGACGTCCCACTCGCCGCCGCTTCCCTTTCGGCCTGGTTCCACTCGAGCGATGGCCTGACGCGCGATGTCACCCAGTGGCCTCCTCAGCGAGTGTCCATTCCATCTCCACTTTCCCTTGCATATTTGTTGGTTGGCGATTGCTTCTTGTTTTGTTTGTTCCCAGCCATAGTTACTTGTTGGTGATTCTTTCCGACCCGGCCATCTCATCTTCAGTCTAGATCCAGCAAAGACAGTTAGTTGTTGATAAAGGTGTGCACAGGCTGTTGGAATATTCTTTGTGACCCACCCGCCAAGTTTCTGGTCGATCCGTATAGAAAAACTGACTGACTTGACGTTTGTATCGAAAATCAGACCGAATTTTGTTGTTGATGGTGGCTGAGTGACGAAGATTTCCAGATTGATTTCAGGTTGATGAATGTGTTTCTCGCCTGCCTTCCCGATTCTCGCTCTATTTGATATCCTCGTCCGTTCCGACTTCCTGTAGTTGAGACAGTGCTCCCTAGCCTAGATAATTGAATGAAGTAACCTCTTTCAAATCCCTCCCGTTGATGGTGATTGGTCGGTTGTTGTTGTTGGTTGGTTGGTTATTTTCCTAACCTCCGTCTTGTCTATGTTCACCTGAAGTCCTGTCTTCGCCGGCTGCTTCTTCGACCAGTTTGTCGGTTTTCTCTTGTAAGTCTTCCATTTTTTGTGACATGTTAACTTGGATTAAAACCAACTTTTATTAACGTCATATCTACGCTTGATAGGCCTACATATACAGTTTGATGACTGTCAGTATCATTGTTCAGCGTAAACTGTACACTTGTTGACCAAATTAAGTGTGAAAATCTAAAGTGCCACGGGCAAACACTGATCAAATTTTTCCCCACCAGTGGTTTAGTTAAAGCTGATATTCTAATGAATGTAAGATTTTGTAGTGCTAGTAAAGTAATAGCGTTTTGATTAGAATTTCATTTAATGGAATCAAATGACATAGAAATAATGCAGTAATTTGAATGACTTTAGTCCACAGTTGTGTTTATTTTTTCAGGAAGACTTATTTATGTAATCATATCAAGTACTTTGTTACATGTCTTTCATTCACATAATATTCGGACAGCCTTTACGGTGACAAAAGTTGAAACAAGTTTAAGTCACTAATTGAATCATGCATCTAGGTTAACCAATGACCAGGTTAACGGTTTGAACTACATCGTTTTTTAGAATGAACTTTACTCATCATCTATTTAAGTGCTTTTTAACATAGAATTAAATATACTATAAATATGTATAATCTTATATCACTGTATTAGTGTAGGGAAGGAGTTCAGCATGGTCACAGAGTATAATTCCATATTAATAACTTTATCTGACATAACATATATTAGTAACATTTTAAGAATTGCCTGACGCCGTAGTCTCAACTGATATGACAACACACATTAAATTGTATTCATAATGTCATCCAGTTATTAATACTGTGTAACTGTCTATTTCTCTTCTGTGCTGCGAAGTTTCTATAACGAATGGATTTATTTTTAATAGGAGGGTTGCTAACCTAACGCTCAAACTTCCCTCTTCCTTGCAGCTTGTGAACTATTTAGCTAAGTTAGGAAATAAGCAAAAACCTTTGACTGATAAATGCTCGTAGGGAAGGGAAGGTGGTTACAGGATTTCATCATGAGTTGATATTGGTTAGAGATCCACTAAAAAACATGGGAGTACTGGACAGCTGTTTCGTCCTAGTTTGAGACTCTTCAGCAGCACTCACCCAGCAACGGGGTTCGAACACAGGACTTTCTGGTTACAAGGCGAGCTCGTAGACCATTAAGTCACTGGGCCCGATCCAATGGCCAATTCATGAATTCAAACTTCTGTCAATTCACAATGCTCACTGGTGACTGGCCCTGTTCACTTAGGTAGTTACCTGGGGTTCTAATGGTAAGTCGTGATCAAGAGGATGCAGTGGGTCGGGTGTTAGGGCAAATACTCGCCGAAGACATTGGCTAGCGGTTGCGCTATATCGTGAATTGGTAGAAGTTAGAATTCATGTGCCATTGGATCGGGTCCCAGTGACTTAATGGTCTACGAGCTCGCCTTGTAACCGGAAAGTCCTGGGTTCGAACCCCGTCGCTGGGTGAGTGCTGATGAATAGTCTCAAACTAGGACGAAATAGCTGTCCAGTATTCCATTGCTGGTTTCCAATGGTTCTCTAACCAATGTCAGCTCATGATAAAATCCTGTAAACAATCAACCAAATCCCAAGAAACCAATACTTGAAGTCAAGGTGGATTGTACATACGCTGAGAAGACCGTCGAGTTAGTGGTGCCAAACCCTCGAATGAGATTTGAATGAGAAACGACGAGTTTGGTATGTGTCTGGGAGTGATGTGGAGGGAATCGTGTAAGAGAGAAATCAAAGCACAAATGGTGATCACGAGGCCAGCTAAAAAGGAGTGCAGAGAACAGAATGAAATGATTCTATGCTGTTGAAGCCCTATTTCTCACTCGAAGACCAGCAGCTCATTAGTAATAATAATAATAATAAATGTGTAATGGACTTATGTCATCTCAGTCATTTCTGCAGTGTTATTCGAAAATCTCTCTAACAAATCGATGCATACAAAAAATGGCAATATATTATCGAATAGATTAAATTGAAGCAAATTGAAGCTCATTCCCATCACTGACAGACTGAAAAGCGACAGATTGAGTATCTATAAAATTTGGTAATTCGATTACATCAACGCACAAATATTTGTGTACGTATATATATAACAAATGATACTTAACTTACTGTGAACATTAATCCCTTGAGTATAATTTTCATGTTCTGCGTCTATATTCCAAATATATGGATATTGATGACGATATAAGTGAGATACAGGACCTAGTGTAGTGAGAAAACAAATACCATAAATGAGACAGATAAGTTGAATGGTAAAACTGAGTTAAATGTGAGAGCAGAAACAGACAGCAAGAATGGTTGAAGTGTACAGATAATTTTTATTCGTTTGATTTGAATAAACAATAGACAACAATGTGCATCGGTGGCACAGCGGCTAAGACGCTCGCCGACCATGCACATGATCCGGAGTTCTATCCCCGGCCACTGGACACACTCCTTTACCTCACTAAGCCAGTAATAAGACTGGTAAAGAAGGAAGGTTTGCATGAGGCTAGTAACCCCATCCTGCAGAAATAATCGCCACTGCTACAGAAACTTCAAGCCTCTAGCTTGAAACCCTATGTTCCACTGGAGACGTGAAGGAATAAAAACAAAACAATGGCAGGCAATTTAGGTATACTCATTGTCATGTATCCAGTCTTTAATGGTGGTCATCAAAATAAGTGGATCCCTATCACAGGACACTCTGATTGATATTGGATGACTGAAGGAAATTGGTGAGAAACCCTGGACCTTAGTTTCGTCCGTGTTAACTCTTATCAGTAAGATGCGCCTGCATTTATGTAGGAATCGATGTTACTGCTGAAATTCTAACCCGCGTAATTCAGTGCTGCAGCTAGAGACGTTAACACTGATCTGTTTGGTTTCACGACTGAATTCGTGAAGGACTGTAACGAATATGGTGGTCTGTCAGATAAGTATACACCCCTTACTGATAACTAACGACTAGCACAAAGTCAAAATTAAGGTTTTCTTGTCAATTATCTCCAACCATCTGATATTATTTCATCCTATAACACAGTTGAAGGCAATCGGCAGGAAGCCTTGGACCTAGGTTTCATCCTTCTGTAATGATTGTCAGTATTGCATTTGCTTTCTGTGGAGGTTAGAGGGTTTGAACACCTACGGATGCGTACTGTTAAGTAGTCCCAAAATAGGAGAAAACAGCTGTCTACTAATCCTTGGTTTCAAGGGTTCCCAAGCTGATGTCATTCCGTGAAGCATACACGAAACAAATCAAACTCCTACAAAGTAGCTCTTGAAAACTCTTTATTAATGAGAATTTCGCAAATAAAAAGTTAAAATAGATAATGAATACAAGTAAACATGGAAAAATTAATCCTTCAGATAATTTTGAGAAATAGAAATCCGTCCATTAAAACGCCTACGATGAGTTCAGCTTCAATATAAAACGGCGACATATTCGCGCGACCTACTGACGGGATTATTGTTCACAAGATATACTTGTATTTCCATACGGATGAGTCTTTTAATGATAGTCCATCAGGAAGCGTGTTTTAATGAGAGTTGACCTTAGATTCCGACTAATTGTTTATAGTCATCTAACAGGTTGTTCATTTTGCGCTTTGCTTTTTACATTCTTTTATGAAATTTAGATGAAACTGAGATTTATTCAATGTTTTCATCAAGATTTCGTCCCACTGTGATTCATCAGACTATTATTTCATAGCATGTGCCTTAAAACTTGCCTTTGTGCATGCCTAAAATAGTTAAAGCCGATTTCACATGATGAGAATGGAAAATATACGTGGTAAATAAACGTTTCAACTCACATTCAGTCACTCGTAGTTGGTAAGGACATTCATTATTTAACTAATTGTCCCTGATGTCAGCAAGCTAAAATCTTCTAATCACCGAACCTGTAAGTAGTCTAAAGGTATGTAGGCGTCACTCTGGGAATGTAATTCAGACAACCTACGCTTGTGATTTTAAGACATCAGTTCGCTGGCATCAGACTAATCATCTCATAATGGCTTTTGTTCACTGGTGCAATATGAAAACTGGTATTTTTTGGTGAAGAAACACAAAGACTATAAAACAGGAGAGTGACTGAAATAGTCAGTAAAAGCAGGACTTCATATAGGCAGCAATTTCTTAGGGTCATAATCACTTAAGAAATTTGACCTCAGTTTGTATCCAGCCAAAAGAAGATTTTAGGATTTGATGTTTCAGGAGAGACTTCTGACATTTTGATAGTTTTCAGAGGTCAACTGTTCCCTCCGAGTGTCAATTTTAGTTTTTTGGTATCAAAAACACTTTACAACAATGTCTGAGTAGTTTTCATCATAACATGGTATTAAACAGGAAACTGCTATAATACAAGGAGAAATGGATAACTGTTTTGTTCCAACTTTGAACTATTCAGTGATGTGCAGCCACGATCACTTGTGATAATAAAATTCAGGTCTGGAGACAAGATTATCACTAGGTCTCTGTTGAATGAAAATCTAATATCTTGAGACTTCAAAAACTCCCTATGCTTTCTATATGATTACTGAGTGTCTGTCCACACACTTGGCGTGGTTGGTTGACACTTACTTCATTGCCACCAAAACTCTAACATCCATTCACAAACCATCACGATGGCAGCTGTTCCTGTCAGATAGATACATTGCAGTGTTGATAAACAGAATTCAGTCAACACTAAGAACTTAGAAACATTGTGGTGTGTTGTATTCTGCTATTCTGTCAATCACTGGTCACAACTTTTCATAGAAAATTTAGAAACCCCTTTATTTCTTAACAAGTTCCCAACTGAACGCCAGTGAATCGATGTTTACATACAAATATGACATGAATTTGTGAGCGAAATTAAATCTAATCACAGATTAATCTAAAATATGAGTACGATAAGCATTATCCAATTAGCGTTGCCCACCTGCCCCCCCTGTTTCATAGTCGACTTTTTATTCCTCTCCTTGTAAGCAGCTTTTTCCGGTTTCATGTAAACTAAGCCACGTTTGGATATTTTAAATTTACTCTAATTTATCAACCACTATGATTGTTATGCATCCTACCGTTTTCAAATGTTAAATAACATCTGTCAGCAGGATGCCCCTTTGTTTATCTTTCGAAAAAAAAGAAGAGTAACAAATCAGTAGTGTTAATCTATTCTTTCATTCAGTTATGCATCATTCATTCACATTTTGTAAACAACAATTGTTCAGAATACAATGAATAGAACTAAATTAGACGATTTGAAAACAGTTTCAATATTCAAGAGATTTTTGAGTAGATAAAACCGATTTTACAGATGTTGTGTTTAAATTGTGGTCAGGGAACCTAACTCATTGTGACATACAAAATATATTAACAGTCAGTCAAATCATTTATTATGGAATGTGAATAGTGCATGTTAATGTAGAGTTAAATGAAGATAATTTTGTAGTAACATAATCTGAAGCTTATTTTGTGATACTGACTTCTTAATGATTTCACTGATAGTTACAGCTTAGCTTTCTGAATGGTTGTTAGATGGTAGGAGCCAAATGAATTTCATGCCCCTGTTGAGATTTGAACCTGGATTACCCAATGCTACTAAAGCGGGTTCCTTCATGTTCCTTCAGGATGGCAGATACTCTTTGATGACCATTATGAACAGCTACGAAGTCAAGGTCTAAGGCTGACTGTCGATTGCCTTCATTATCTAACAACAACTCGTCGTAATGGTAAGCTGCCTAGCATGGTGGCCACACTGTAAACTTAAGTGATAGATTCACTCTGCACCGAAAGAAGGGCTAAACTCATACCACTAGTTACTACTTCGTGTCCAATGAAAGTAAAGTTTAACTTCTCTTCTTTAAAGACAGGTGATGCAGTGTGATGATGAAAACTACAGAATGACCGGATATTATTTAAATGTGGTGAAATGTTAAATCATTTCAACCTTATTAAAACTAAATTTCCGACCACCTTTCTAATCTAAAGATATCTGTCTACACAGAAATATCATTCTTGCGACTCAGTGATCTGCTAAAGTCTCAAAATGTTGGCCAATTGCTTTATTTTAAACAAATGGATGACTTTCTGGTGATTCTATCTTTTAAATTATACAAATTTCTTAGTGATTCGTGCTAGCAGTACCGACCGACAGTAACAAAATGTCAATGTTTTAACTAGTTTACCTATTTAAGCTGTGATATTCCTTCTAGACAATTTAGTTAATAAATTGTTTATGACTGGAGCTTGATCGCCGTATACAGAAAGGTTTTTGGGTTTAAAAGTACATTGACTGCACAGTTTGAGCACACCCTCAATATATTAGCTTTGGTAACCAATACCTCATGAATCTATTTCCTGTGCTTAGGAGGCATGCAACTTACAAAGGAAGGATAAAACTTTTCTCTACACAAACAAATACAATAATTGAGGACTTCTTCATACTGACTTAGACATTTTGCACAGGATGGTGTTCACAGAGATTTCTAACCAACATCAACCTAAAGGCAAGCTTCGAAGAATTAACACTTTACATAAGAAAGTGTAGTAGGGCAGCTTTCCACTCAGAATACATCCTCTGTCTTTTGTACAACACGTTACACATATTAGTTTATCTTTCTTCAGAAAACGTAAAATTATTATTATATAATATCATTTTTCTCACCCTTTATAATATTTTGAGAAAATCAAATAATCTGTTAGAGTAACTACTACAGGACACACATAAATATTCAAATGGCCAGATAAACACTTATTTCCATACTCTGATTTTATCATGATTTATATTACACATAGGGGATTTTGGTGATATTGTGCTTTCTGAAATGTAATGATTTAGTTGCGTTCTTTGGGTTGGACAGTTTAGTTGCAAAGCTTTCACTGTTCATATGAACGAAATCCTCGTCACAGACTTCCGTATGAAATGAGCTTTTAGAATACTTTACAATGCAACATTCCTGTCTTCAGCAGTATATGGGCAAAGTATCTTATGACCATTTCCCAATAAAGTGGATATCCAATAACCTTCATCAAAAGACGTCTACTCTCTATTTATTCGACTACTATAAGATTGTCTAGTGAAATCGCAAAGAAAATCGTCCTATCATATACAGAGAATATCTGGGGAATTACTACAAGACTGTTGAAGTCCTTTTGGAATAGATATCAAGTGCAAACCAACAAAATCACTTAGATCTATACTGTATCAACTGAAAGACGCAGCAGTAATTGAAGACAAAACTAACAACACCTACAAGATAAACTGCAACAACTCTGGGAAGGAGTATATTAGTCGAAGTGGAGGTCGTCTTCATCTTCACAGCTACAAAACAGACTGACTGGTCATCAAAAAGACATGGTATTCATACGCTCATATCAATTCTCGCACACACCTACGGACAACAATACAACTGAAAGAAGTCGAGAAATCCTATGCAAAAGAAACATCAGGAATCCCAAGATTCCAACAGATACACTGAAACAGATAAGATTTGTCAATCAATGTGAATGAAGTCGTATGGGAAAAAAGGTTAATTTCCAGGTCAACAAAATAATCAATACCAATACAAGGGAACTAGAGAATGGAAAAATCTTAAAACAGTGAAGATTACCAGGAGAAATGCCCAATAAACAAATAAAGCATTATAAAAGCTTATTAAAAAATTAAGCCTAAGGTGAATGTATGTTTCTAGAAAGATAATGAAAGCTACTCAAATAAACATCCAATTACACCATAATATCGTCTGCCTAAGCTATAATAAGTCGTCACCATAATTTTTCTTTTGTGTGTGTGTGTTGAACTCTGATCGGAGCAGTGAACAAGTGATGGAGATGAGTTCTACTAAAAGCCTTTGAAATTATTTTCATTAACTTGACTTGAAAGCATATATATATATATATACTGGTTATGTGAGGACTTTAAGCTTTTTTCCTAAACAAAGTTTAATGCTTGACCTATTTCGATAATTATGTTCCTATTTTTATGTTACAATTTGTTCAGCAACATTTCGCTTACTCTTTTGCCACCCGTTGGATCCTCCCTGTGCTAATAACTGCTTTTTTTCAATCCTTTCTATATTTTCATATATATTCAAATAAAATACCATCATCAGAATATATGTAGCCACAGGACATGATACGAGCAAATGAATATCACTCAAACAAGCCATTAGAATTTTCGAGTTACTCCTGATTAGTATAAACACTGGATAATGAAGAATACGGATTGTTGCGAGTGCTTTGATCGCACACTGGTAATTAGTGTAATATGTCTAGTCCCTTCATTGGTGCACACTGAATTCTATCAGTCAGGTTTCCAATGTGGCCTCCATACCACTAGGTGGCTCGCCATCATTGTGGACATTGATTTGATGATATTAGATGGTTGGAGACAATCAACAGGGACATGAGTTCCTTCACGGTTGCAGATACGCCTTGTTGACTGGTGAGTACCAACTAGCACGAAACCTACGTTGAAGGCTTCCTGCAAGTTGCCTCCAACCATCTAAACTGATTGTATTTTGTGTGATCAGATCTATTGAGATAATTTTCACAGATGTTATACTGTCATTTCTTTTCAGTACAACGTCCTACATATTTATAAAAGAGGGATTAATTACATCAGAGTTCAACAGAATTTAAATCACTAGACTGGAAAGAAATAATTATCCTTCAATACAATAATGACACACTAAGACACTGTATGTGAAGAATAAATCCATTATTTATGGGTGTACTGTAATCATGTATTCCAAATAAAGTGTAATTTTCGATATGTAACTTCACCTAAATATCGGTTTACAGGTTGTAAGGACAACAGTTATACATTCGGAGAACCTTGCTTCATGACGATAGATTATTGATTAATTTCAGAATTTCATCATGAACCGACATTTGTTAGAGAACCATTGGAAAACCTGGCAATACCGGACAGCTGTTTTGTCCTAGTCTGGAACTCTTCAAAGTGCGCACCCACGGGGAATTAAACCCAGATTACGGTAGATCAGGCGTGAGGACTAATACTCTCTACCTATGACACTGGCTCGTAGTCGCGGTATGTCGTAAACTGGCAGAAGTTGGAATTCATGATCAGGCCACTGGATCCGGTCCCAGTGGCTTTATGGGCTACGATCTCGTCATGTTACTGGAAGGTCCTGAGTTTGAACTCAGGTGGAAGAGGACTTCTGAAGAGCTCCAGTCTATTACATCACTCCCACATTTTCCAGTGGTTGTCTAACCGATGTCAGCTCATGGTGAAATCCTGTAACTAATCAAATCCGTAAAAACCAACACTTGAATATTATTGATTACTCATACAGTGCTACTTGGTTGTTGGTAGCCGGCAGTGGAGTTTCTGAAGCTGCTTTCATCACATTTTAGAGTCATCAGGTGGATATATCAGCATTCCTAACCACTGATGGTGTCACTGTCAGACGCCAAGGTATTATCCATTAGACTAGCCACAAGAACAGCCTCACGTGCAATGGATATGAACCGTTATTTGTTTCAAATATTTTATATTTCTCTTCAATTAGTTGTAGTGAATCGAAACGCTTGCTATCTGTTGAAATGTTTATTCCTAGTACCGATATCTCTACATTGACTTGAGATAAGTCGATAGAGATTGATTATTTAAAACAAATTAAATCAGACAAATAGGGATATAAAATTAATAAATAAATACCAAGATACTCCATCTATACCACTGAAATGTTAAGCAAGACGGACTAAAGTATTATTATTATTGGTTAACAAAGTGATAGTATAATATGCATGAGATGAATTTGGGAACTAGGTTAATAATACACATCCACTTAAGAGCTTGCGTAGAGGAAGGATATTAATCAATGGTAAGTAGACAGACTAGGAAAAAAGCGATAATAGAAACTCATAGATCAAGTAAAACTTTGCATAATAATATAGCATATAAATTAGTCAAGCAAAAGCATCAACTTATTTATTTATGACACAAGTTATAGACACAAGTTGAACGTAGAAACGGAAATAAAAGTGTTACTCTTTATCAGAGTAGGAAGTAAGCAGAAACAGCACTATAAATAAATATATCGAACTAAAAGGAAGATAGACATATTTAACGAAGAGATACATATAATCAGTTGACATTACATAATTCAAGATACATATGCACATACGTATATATATATATATATATATATATATATATATATATATATATATATATATATATATATATATATAAACCTGTCAATGAACTAATGAATGCATTTTCATTCTAACTGTTCCAAAAATAGAACAGTTACAATTCCCCATATGGATAAAGCTGAATCTGATTTGATTTTTTTTTTTCAGACACACTGTAACAATTCAATTCAACTAGACTTAACTGTAGATTAAGCAAACTTTTGAGTTTTGCTTTATGTATGATCATAAAGATTGTTTTGGACTCACACAAAAAGCTTGGAGGATCTGTACTTCGCCAATGCGATAGGTCTGATTTCCCACAAACTGGAAGATGTGCAAGTGAAAAGCAACAAGCTGGCAGAAGAAGCATCAAAGATAGGACTTCAGGCGGACATAGAGAAAAAAACAAGGTGATGAAGATTCCTGGCCACCAGCAACAACAACAACATCAACAACAGACAACAATCAGCATAAATGAGAGGAATCTGAAAGAAACAACCTCCTTCACCTACCTGAGAAGCATCATTTCAACTGCAGGCCAGTGGAACTGACGAGGATATCAAAGCTAGAATCGGAAAAGCAAGACAAGCTTTCATTACTCTTAAGTCTGCGTGGAGGTCAACAGCACTCAGAATCAAAAATAACATCCGGATTTTCAACTCCAATGTGAAGCTAGCGCTAATATACGGATCAGAGACCTGGCGCGTCATAAAGAGCATCTCAAACAAACTTCAGACCTTCATCAACAGCTTCCTTCGCTCAATACTCAAGATCAGATGGCCGACCAGAAACGATCAGCAGTAGGGATCTCTGGGAGCGAACCAACCAGGAACCGAATGTGAAACAAATAGGCAGGAAGAAATAGAGATAGATTGGCCATAAGCTGAGCAAAGAAACCATCAAGTGGCATCACTAGACAAGCCATCGCTCGAGTGGAACCCAAAAGGGAAGCGGCGAATAAATTGGTCGTCAGTCCAAGGGGTGGCTTGGAGGAGGTCATGTGAAGAGGAGACGAAAGCATGTGGACAGACTTGGAGCGGGGTGAAAAAGTTGGTAGAAAACCGACGGCAATAGAGACGGGCAGCTGAAGTCCTATGTTCCTCTAGGAATTTAAGGATAATAATAAAGATTGTTTTAATTCAGGACGCCAGAAATTTTGGCTGTTTATCGTATGCCTTCCTACTTAAACTATTATCTTGTCTAATGGCGTTTTCGCAACAACTCTAAACGTCCACTCTATCATGTCTGGGATTGAACTTAAAAGGACTACCTAAGCTGTCAGAGAAAATTCCTTTCAGATTAGAAAATGGATTGAAGCCATATCTGATTATCAACATTAAAAACTTATTTAGTTCAGCTGCAAAGGTGATTACAGGTGACGCTGAAATGTATATCCATGCACGTCACTAAGATGTTATTTTACGCTGGATTACTTCATATGCTAGGTGTGTAGTCAAAATAATCATATAACTAATTACAGTCTACAGTTTAAATATAACCAACGTCAAATTATCCCAATACTTACACAGTATTATTCTGGTGAGAGCTGGCTGCTAGCCAAATTGGTGGACAGTAATTTATGTCAATGTTTATGTTTCAAATACTGGTCATGTGAAAACAAAAACAAAGATTGACTCAACAATCCATCACAGCAGACTTTGCGTAGGCAGATACAATTAGAAGATAGATGATCTGACTTTCACGAAACAGCCACAAAGAGATGAAAGATTATCTTTCATTGAGAGAAAAATAATCAGAAGACTGTGTTTGTCTGCTAACACTAATCTATAATAATGTACTTGAAAGTCTATAAATATGTGTTGATTTTCGAAATAAACGATCTGTTGACTGACCCTTGTCTTCTGTTGTTACACTATATTTGATTACAAAACTGTCAAAAGAGAAAATGATTAATTGCATCCGTAGGTGTTTTAATCTACTGTCAACATTTAGAAATGCAGTGAAATCAAAAAAGTAACTTGACAAGCGATACAACTTGTTCTTACCTAATTCACCACTTAGACCAGCAAATTCTGATACAGAAGTCAACTTCTTCTTAAGATAAGCAGATATAGGTCCACTTAGCAGAGAGTGGGTTAACTGAGTTTTACCAACCAAACTTGAACCGAATATTTTAACTTTAATTCTTGGAAAACGATGTGTTCCCTCTTTTAATTGTTCAATCCATGCTGTACGCTTCTCCTATAAGAGAGTGAAAGAAATATGCACTGTGATAAATTTAAATATAAATGTATGAAAATTTTAACTTCGTAAAGGAATGCTTAAATTTGTCTTTCTGAAAGTTAACCCTGGTAAATTAAACACTGATATTGTGAAAATGAACGTGGATCAGATGGAATGTCGAAGCTTGGAAATATTAAGCTTCTAAATATCTTCAGTCTCTAAGGCGGTATGTAAGTATCTGACAGTTAGTACAGATCAGTGATCCATACAGGGTAAGGCAAATATTCGAATAAAACTCGTCGTCAAGTCACACACTTCAAGGGGGAGCTTCAGCATAGTTTCCTTTGAAAACCCAAAATATTCCAATTGCAACATGCGACTAACCATTATCACTTACACATGGTTATTTTAGGCATTCTGTATATAATGTGAAAGTGGCGATTGAAATACATCTGAAAACTGTCTACACTGTCAACGCCTTATGAATAAAACAGTTGAATTTTACAAGTAAACAGAGATGAATAACTCTTCCCTATGATAAGAACACGTGTTTGTTTATTAGTTGCGATTTCCTGATATGAAGATTTCGATGTGTTTCTATTAATATTTGGACATAACTCACCGAGAATGTTATTTTAAGCGCCTGTATATCCGAACACTTTATTTGACAATACTTAACTAGAAACAGAGAAATACCACTCTATAAAAACAGAGCATGGGTCCCTTAAATTTATCACCAAATTTCAAGAAGGGCATTGCAGAAACGTTGGCGTTTAGCGACACATTTTATTCGTGGAATACAGTCTCTTCAATATTCAAGTGTTTGTTTGTAGGGATTCGATTGGTTATAGGATTTCATCATGCGTTGATATTGGTTACAGAACAATTGGAAAACCTGGGAGTACTGGAAAGTCGTTTCGTCCTAGTTTGTGACTCTTCAGAAGTGCGCACCCACCAACGGGATTCAAACCCAGGACCTTCTGGTTACAAGGCGACTTACCCTATTCACGCAGGTAGTTAATTGGGGTTCTAGTGAGAAGTCGTGACCAGTAGGAAGCAGCAGGTCGGGTGTGAGGACAAATACCCGCCGAAGACATTGGCTAGTGGTTGCACTATATCGTGAACTTGCAGAAGTTAGAATTAATGTGCCATTGGATCGGGTCCCAATGGCTAAATGGTCTACAAAGTAGCCCTCCTTGTAACCGGAAGGTCCTGCGTTCGAATCCCTGTGGGTGAGTGCTGATGAAGAGTCCCAAACTAGGACGAAATAGCTGTCCAGTACTCCTATGCTGGTTTTCCAGTGGTTCTCTAACTAATGTCAACTCATGATGAAATCCTGTAAAGTCTTTTCGAATTAGCTGAGGCAAAATTCCACAAATTTGACTCATTTAATAAACATAGTCAAATATTAATTGAAACAAACTGCTGGGTCATGCCAACTGTAAAAGTCGGATATTTATCCTCTGAATTCGCATACTACTAATAGTTATTTTGTTAACAATTGCATTTACTACTCTGCTATGCAGTATTGACGCTAATAGCCATAACCTGTGAAAATTTTGGGGTAGTTCCTCTTTCCTTAAACATTTCAAACTATATTTCATTAAACATTTCCATTATCTAATTAGCTATTGTTATTAGTGAAAGTGAGCGAAAATTTTTTTTTTATTTACAGCTTGATTCCACACTGTATTTTTGGTACAAGTATGGAATTTTCAGCATGGATATCGGTAGCCCAAATTTTTGTAGGCCGACCATAGATATCAGGTGTGCGCCGGCGTGGGCTCGAACCCCGGACCATGTGCATGGTCGGCGAGAGTCCTAACCACTGTACCACCGAATCACATTCTAGTACTAACTTATTATATCACTCTAATACTACTTGTTAGCTGTTGTATCGGACTCTGACAGTAAGATATATTCAGCCTGTTTTATCTTAGGGGAATATTTTTTTCAACATAAAGGAACGTTTTGTTCATTGAGATCTTCATGTCTGTCATTTCCGTTTATTACGCTTACACACTTTAACTAACACTACTGAGAACTGTTGATACTGACTAACTGATGTTCAACACAGAACTTTTCACAGAGCTGAAGTAGTTCAGGTTGCCACACAAAGCGGTTTATAACTTCCTGATTGCCGAATTCATCATGATAACAGTGATAATGTGACTCAGTATTCTTCAACCAACAGTAAGACGTCAGACAATATCACTTGATCTTTGGTTTACTGAAAATAGATCACTATGGTAATTTAATTTGTTGAATGATGGAATTTACTGTATTAATGTTGTCATTGCAAGTTTTAACGAGCGGTGAAAACATTTAGGATGTACATTTAAGCCTGACATCATTATGGTAGATGAGCATAGAGTTGTTAAGTATGCCTGAAACATTTGAAACTAAAGAACTTTCTTCAAAATTAAACATTCATAAGATAAGTATCAAATAACGTGACGTATTTATATATGGGACAGTAACCCACTATCTAGTCATTTTTGCAGTTTCAAACTGTGCTGTTTATAGACTTAGATCCACATTATATGAAACTTTGAATAACATATGCTTAAAAAAGTTCAATTTTATGAGACGTTATTGCATTATCGTGATTTTAAAGCTAACGGACAGTATATTAACCAGTAACCTTTAGCCTTCTCACCAATAAATTAAAACTCCGGATGTTCTCAATCCAGTTGTTGTAATAGCTCCATTTTCATAGTGAAGATGGATTGATGTCAATAATGGCGAAAGAAATTATCGCCTTGTGTAGAAATGAGAATTGTTGTCTTTTCAAGCAGGTGTTTAGAATTGAACTGTTACTGAACTCATTCCAGTTTGAAATGGTTATTCTTCAGTTAAAAGGGGTCCTAGTGTATACTGCAGCACAACTCATTTCTAAATTGGGTCTTAAGTCTAATTTCGCCTCATAAAATAATCTAATCACATCACAATTTTTCGCTGTTGATTAGATTGTCTCCACACACTAAGTGAATTAAGTCGGTTTGTTCATGCTATAAATACACATCTATTGCGTCTTTAAATTGTGACAGTCTATAATTGAAAAATATACGTAAATCACGCCCTTATATTCGAGATATGTGCTCATATTCGTAAATTATTAAACGGCAACTATTGTGATGTAACTCACTAGCACTAGCCAAACGTTACTGAACCACCCACCCTTTTAAATTACTATTGAGTCGAGTAGCACCACTTCAAGGAACATTGATAGCAGTCACAAAAACAACCAGTTTCTGAGGATGACATTATTTATCACCTCAGTTCATTATCTACTGAAAATAACCAGGTGGGTGCATCTCTAACGTAAGAGAAACTCATGCCTCATCACAGACTTGGAGTTGTAGTTTTTCCTTTCAAAATGACCTTTACCAATTATAAATATACTAGTAAAGGAAAGGAGGTGAAAGATTACTGTTAATACACCAAGGATAAATAAAGCATGTTAGTTTCTGTTAAAAAGTTAACCTTGAATTATTTCAACCGAACTTATATAATCCCCCTAGGCAAATAATTAACCTGTGTTTCAGGACTTCATCATGAGCTGACATCAGTTAGAGAACCAATGAAAAACCTGAGAGTACTGGACAGCTGTTTTGTCCTAGTTTGGGACCCTTCAGCAGTACGCACCCACCGGGATTCGAACCCAGGACCTTCCGTTTACAACTAGGGTGAAACAGCTGTTCAGTACTCCCAGGTTGTCCAATGGTTCTCTAACTAATATCAGCTCATGATGAAATCCTGAAACCAACCAAATCCCTACAAACCAACACTTAAATTAACCTGTGTATCATAAAATTATCAGTGAATAACTTACTGGTTTCATTTTGGTTAACAACATTCCAACTTTTGCATAGCCTTGAGCAAAAGCCATAACATCTGGAGTTATTCCCGTCTAAGAAAAGAAGTGAATGTATAGAGAGTGAATTACATACAAATATTCAACTATTAGGTATCTGAGTGAAAACTTTCTTATTTAACGTCCTAGACTGAAAACTGCATATATTAATGATAGGATTATTAGAAGACGGAGATTATCTGAAAAAATGTGATGTATTTGCTCTATACATTTTGAACAGTCTGATCACACATTTACTTGTCAAGTCAATATATATATATGGAAAAGTTGAATTAAACAAAGTGACAAAAAAAAGAATTAAGAATAATTAACACAGCGTTTGGTAATCCAATCAAATAAGGATTTCCAAGATAGTTTAAGAGTAATAACAAAGTAATAACAGAAGGGGCTATAGCCTCAGCGTATTTCAGTTGTCCGTTTTTATAAATGGCCTTAAAGGATGAGTTAACATCAACCTCATGATTCATCTCGATTAGATGTTTAGCTATAGATGAGGTTGGTAGTCTGTCACCTGCATCAATTGGTTTTTCACAGTTCATTTGTCTTTCCAGCCATTTTTTGACATGCTCTCCCACCCTCACATGCAAAGCGCAATTACTCCTCCCTATGTATGTGTGACCACACACACACGAAAATTGGTAAATAGTGTAGGATGTGACATAATCACTTGTGCACTTTTGAGGTTTGCAGTGGAGCATATTTTTAGCTTTCTCCACAATTACAAGCAGGGCTGCAGATGATCGAATTCAACCTTTGTCTCAAAATCCTACTGTTTATTTCCCGTTATATGGTAATTTGATGAAAACCTTTTTTTAGGGACGGTATGGACTGTAGGTTTAGAGACTAATTGACTCTTACACCTTTTTAAAACTTTTAAAGGATATCCGTTTTCAAAAAGAGTATCCATCAATATTTCGTTTTCTTTGTCTATAACATCAGCCGTGCAAATGCGCTGTTTCCTCTTAAATAGACACTTCACCAAGCCTATCTTTTACTGTAATGGACAGAAGCTGTGAAAATTAAGGTACTGGCCTATCCAAGGGGGCGTTCTGTAGATAGACCGTCTTATTGAGCCATCATCTCTTCGACTCAGACGTATGTCTAAAAATGTAAGCTGGATGCGACTTTCTTCCACTAATGTGATTCTGTACAGAGTTAAGCCTGTGTAATAGAAGAGTCGCATCTTCATGATCGTCGCACATCAAAATGATATTATCTACATATCTCTTATAGAACAGCAATTTAGAAATTAAATCAAAGTATAAGTTTTCAATATAAGACATGTAAACGCCCGCTAACAAAGGTCCCAATGGACTCCCCATAGCAACGCCATCCATTTGTCGAAAATGTTCGCCTTTAAATGTATAGCGCAAAAACATCACATTTTTCAGATAATCTCCGTCTTCTAATAACCCTATCAAAATTCATAAAAGGGACTAATTGTTTTAAATATATTAATGAATAAGAGGAATTGGTGTGTTTCTGTAGGAAAGTCATTAGTCAACATTATGTCAATGAAAAGGTCGAGACTCCACACTGTTGTCATTTTTGTAGTATACGGGAAGTGTGACTATACGGTAATTAGTATTAATCTGTGCGCTGTCAACTGTGTTACTTCCTACACTTTCTTTTACTGGTAATTAGTAATTCACTGGTGCAGTCTGACGGTAGCGTCGTTTTTAAACAAAGGTAAAAGAAAACACTGAGTGAGTTTCGTAAGTTATTCTACCTTCAACAATTAATGATAATCTACTTTGTTCCAAAAACACTACTTATAATACAGAATAGAATTCTCGGCATTTGTCGCAATATTGCATCTGATTTACTTAAAATATAAATTAAAGTTAAAACAAAATTAATCAGAGGAATTCGTCCACGTTTACGATATAAAGTCAAAAATATTCGAAGCACGAAATGAGAATATTAAATACACTAATAATTATTATAATAATAATAACAACAGTGAGTTTGTTTCAAACAGTATTGGCGATTCAGCTTGGAGATTTTAGTAGGTTATAGATTATTGAATCTAATGTTCTGTTGATATGGCAGTATGGTGAGGGGAAATACAAAATTAACAGTTATAACACAGTGATGTTCACAATTATGAGAAAAATAACAAAAACAAAAAACTGAGAGGATTGTAAATATAAGAAACGCAATAACAATAAAGTTTGATGTTGGAAGGTTGCAGGAAATGGTTTATTTAGTAGTGCATAGAAGGTTAGTTAGTTCACGTCTAACACTACTTTCATCACATAAAGTACGTGCAGCGAAATATAGTATAGTGGAATTTTTATACTTAGACATATTTGCACAAAGTCTTTTGAAAAGACTTCTTGTTTTACCTGAGGAGGAGACACAAGGTTAGAGCTTTGGGTGCTGTGGTGGGTGCTCACAGTCTGACAAAATTCCTTTAGCAAATTTGTAACATGACATCAAGTGCCTATCCGTGACAGTGTCAACGATATGGCCCAATGGGATACCACTCGTCCTACTGACTGGTAGTCTTCAGAGTTCTACGAAGTATGACATAGTATTTTTTAAGCAATCCAGGAAAGAATAAGGGTGAACAGTAGAGCAGAATAGGTAAAATACACGAGTTGACAAACTGTAAGAGGAGTGGTTGGGTTATGCCTGAGTGCCTCAACTTCTTAATGTAAATAGTCAGACGAAATATTCTTTTAGAAATCGCTAAGACATGGAAGACCAGGATAGGTCAGAAGAAAGAATCAATCCAAGAGACTTAACTTCAGACTTGATTTCTACATCAGTATCATCAATTATGCAAGGGTCATAGGAACCAACGGCTTCATTTAACTTTCGTTTGCATCGGAAACTGAAATTAACAGTCTGACATTTGGAAAGATTTAGTTTAAGGCCGTTAGACGTAAACCCTTTGCTAATTCCTGATAGAAAGCTGTCCATCTTAGCACAGTCTAGCTAGACTGAGCTGGGAGTTAACAGACATTTCAGTTAGAGTACATTCTCAGGCATAACTACAATACTTGGATAATGAGTTTTTGTAGGGATTCCAAATTAATTTCATTGCAGATATCGTCACAAATCAACATCAGTCGGAGATCACTGAAAACTGGACAGTCCAAATGGCTGAATAATAAACAAACTTGTTCTCTTAAACCAAAAGCATAGGATTGGATCCCCGATAAGTTCTTGGATGTACAGTGTTGAAGAGTTACAAACTAGGACAAAACAGCTGTCTAGTGCTTCCTGGTTTTCAAAGATCTCTAAGTGAAACTGGTTCGTAACGAAATTTACACAAAGATAATAACTGCCATGGTTAGAATAAAGATTTTAATAGCAACGAATTACTTATTCGTCCTTGTCAAATTAGTGCTTTCAAAGGTTCCAGAACCACCCCAAAGCATTTAAACCGGCTGAAGGCTTTTATCAACACCTGACTTTACTCCATACTAAAAAACCAGATGGTCGGCTAGAAACAATTAGCAACGAATATGACTGATAGGCAGCGAGCCGACCAACGACCTATTACTCAACAAATATGCAGAAGGAACACTGAGCTTCAGCAGCACATCACCATTTCATTGTCTAATCTCCTATCATTTTAGCTAGCCTCACGATAGCCCATTAGCCTTCATTTTCTCCTCACACAGCCTCCTCCACATCACCTTCAGAAAACGGATTCGTCGCTCCGGTTCGGATCCAACTCGATGGCCTGGTGCATTATATCATTTTACGATCTCGTCGAATTATGTTCAGTCTGTATTCTCTTCTTTGTGCATATGTGTTAGGCATTTGGCTGTTGACTATAGTGACTTGTTTCTTATCTGTTATGGTCGGTCACTTGATGCTGGGTATTGAGAAAATTAATATTAAATTATACTGCTTTAAAATTTATTGGTATTTCTATAGGTAGTTAAACTACTTTATTTATTTTAAAAGGATTTGATGAAGATATTGTGCAAATCAATAAGCCACTATAAAACCCCTAAATCACCAAATAAATCGTCATTCGCCTTCAGTAAATGTTTTTCTTGATGAAATCTTTGACAAAGAACTTATAAAAGCATATATTATACAAGGAACAAGGTGTATATAAGAGTAGAACTTGTGGACTATGGTAGAGTATAATTCCATTATGGGTAAAATGTTTATTTTGATAAATTCTCAGTGTTATACGGTAATATTTACTGATAACGTTTCGAGCTAAATTTATTGATTACACTCATATCAAGTTACTCACATAACTTCCTGACTTCGTTTAAATGAACGAAGTGCATAGTAAAACGAAGTACTTTGGTCAGTCGAATTACATTTATTTATTTTATGATTCTCTTACGTTCCGAATTGACCATAAAGCTTCAAACTACTGAAAAGTGGTGTTGGTGTTGTTTCAACGGGATGGGGTTGTGATGAAAGCTGGCTGCTGGCCAAATTGGTAGACAGTAATTTACGTCGATGTTTGCGTCCCAAATATTGGTGGTGAGAAAAATAAGAACAAAGACTGACTTAACAACCAACCACAACAGACTTTGTGTAGGCGGATACAATTAGCAGATAGATGATCTGACGTTCATGAAACAACCATAAAGAGATGAAAGATTAACTTTCAGTGAGAAACCACCAACCAGAAGACTGTGTGTGTAATCTATAATAATGTACATGAAAATCTATAAATATGTGTTGATTTCGTAAATAAACGATCTGTTGACTGGCCCATGTCATCTGTTGTTACAGGGTTGCTAGCCATATGCTCAGCCTTCTCTCGTCTCCCTAGCTTACTATCGACTACGCGAGGTTTAAGAATGCGTTGTTTGGGATTCGTGCTTCAATCCCCTGATACGTTGGCCAGTAGTCTGTCTTAGAATCATAGGCATACTATGTGGATATGAGAATAGAATAGAATACTTTAATAAAACAAAGTTATTCTAATAAACCCAAGGAGAAGAAAGACAGGCAATAGCATAAAATTCCATAGGTAAATAAAATAAAAAATACTGAACACAGGTTGAATGTGGGCGACATTCTCTAGATCACCAACGTTAAAGGACTATAAATGCATAAAGAAAAAAGATTAAATGTTCGCTTACAACAATTTCACTAGAAATTACTTGGAAAAAGACAGCATAATATGAATTCTTCAAATCCGCTTTATTATATGTTTGGTTATGGAGGAATTTTCCGGTTTCTTCTTGCTGCTATTATCAAGAAAATGGTATAAATTTGGCTTGGCAGTTTAGCGAATAACCTTTTGACGTTATTAAAATAAGATATTAGCTCAACTGTCGTTCAAGTTCCAGGTAATACAAATGACGAGATAGCTGCATATGATGAAAACGCAATGCAGTGATCAAGTTAGGAGATTGGTCATTCCAAAATACATAACCTACTACAAATATTTTAAACGCTAATAGTTGTCCCATTACTAGACAGTGCCATAATAATGTATTGGTTAACTACAGCCGAAACAGCACTCGGAAAAGGAATCCATGATGCAGCTGCAGAAACTGTAGTCTAAATACCAGTGACAGTCTTCCTCTTTTTGTTAAATTACGTAATATTCTGCAGTGATTGTAACCATATCACACATAATTACAATAATCAAAGCTTGAATGAAATTGAAATATGAAATTCAAATGCATGGATACTTGGTCGACAAAGATAAGTTAAAAACTGTTAATCTTAATCACTGGCAAACATATATTAATTAATTTTCAATCCATCTAAAAGTCAGATCAGCATCTCTTGTCTTCAGATCCATCTTACCAACAGTAAACTCGAAACGATAAGCCTCAGAATGTATGGATATATATACATATACGCACACATATGTTCATCGTTTATAAACTTACACGACTCGTGATACCAGGATCAGCGCCAGCCAATATAAGATAACGAACCGTTCTCAAGTGTCCATGTCTTGCAGCCAAATGCAGTGGAGTGAATTCGGCCTATAAGATAATTTAAACAATCACGTAAAACTCCGTCATTCTTAAAATCTAATCACACAGGAGAAAGCAGAATGGCCGCCTTTATTTGTGCCTCATAAAATCTCAACATATAGTTAACCTTAGTTTAATGACTTCATGTAGTAATACATTTTGAAAATGTATCTGTCAAAGTGTTTATATCCAGTTTGTCAAAGACATAAATTTCGTAGCACTTCTATTGTCAGACCTTTTCACTGAACTCACTAAGTACATCTTACTGTCATTCATAGTCTCAGTCGTTCATGTTTGATATTATTATAGTTTTCAGTAAATATCCTCCTTTGAGAGTTATGTAACCCCGTCTGAACAAACCAAGCTAATACCACCTTCGACTAATTTCAGGAAGTTTAAATAAACCTGTAGAAACTTTGATAGGCTAAAAATAGTGATATTTTTCCAGTGTCATTTAGACTCCTTGCTTACGATTTGTCTTGAAGACGAATTCAAAGGCAGTGGCTTCTTCTAACATGTTAAGTATTCAACTCTACTTCTCAGTAAATAATTTAGTTCACAAAACTATCATTGATGTATCTTCATTTGCCCTTAGATAAAAAATAAATATTGAAGTTTTTATTGATCCTCATAGATTCAACTTTCAGTATTCGGGTTGTTTATGTTTATCTAAATTCTGAATACATCTCAGATCTGGTTTAAAATATTTTAAACTCAGGGCACTACTGTATGGCCGCATAGGTAAAATTATTAACAATCACAAGTACATATATGTGTAAAACTTGGGCACTGTGGTATTAAGTAATTCCATATTAGTTTGATTATTAAATGTATCACACAGTGAAACAGTATTGTATACTGGATAATATACTGTATACTGTATACAATACTGTTTCACTGTGTGATACATTTAATAATCAAACTAATATGGAATCACAAGTACAAGAAATGTTCACATTCTAAAAATTATTTTTTGAAAAAATTTGATTATTATGTTTCCATAAAAAGAAGCAGATAAAATAATCAACACGCGTATATGAGGAGCGTATTCTATCGTTAATAGTGTTTCTCAAATTTCGTTATTCTTATTTTGAAATAGACATTTGATACTAATATGAAGTGAAAAAATTTAAAAGACAATGCTGTTTGGCTACTTTAATCATTATTGTTATTAATAGAAGGATATATGGATTGCATGTGAAGGTAGATTAGTTAGAATTAAAGGATAGTAATGTATTTTTCACAAGAATTTATACAATGTTATTTCTGGACAACAGAAAGAAGATCTGAAGTTTTTAAATGCATTGTAGTGCCTTTTCAGGAAAAGTTAATAAATGAATTCACTTTTGTATTCAAGTGTTGGTTTGAAGGGATTTGATTGGTTTCAGGATTTCATCATGAGCTGACATTAGTTAGAGAACCATTGGACAACCTGGGAGTACTGGACAGCCGTTTCGTCCTAGTTTGGGACTCTTCAGCAGTACGCACCCACCGGGATTCGAAACCAGGACCTTCCGGTTACAAGGCGAGCTTGTATACCATTTGGCCACTGGGACCCGATCCAATGGTCCTTGAAATCTAACTTCTGCCAATTCACGATCGGGTCCCAGTAGCTTATTGGTATACAAGCTCGCCTTGTAACCGGAAGGTCCTGGGTTCGAATCCCGGTGGGTGGGTACTGATGAAGAGTCCCAAACTAGGAAGAAACAGCTGTCCAGTACTCCCAGGTTTTCCAATGGTTCTCTAACTAATGTCAGCTCATGATGAAATCCTGAATTCCCTTTTGATTACAGCTTGATTCCACATTGTATTTTTGGTACAAGTATGGAATTTTCAGCGTGGATATCGGTAGCCTAAATTTTGCAGGCCGACCATAGATATCAGGTGTGCGTCGGCGAGGGCTCGAACCTCGGACCATGTGCATGGTTGGCGAGAGTCCTAACCACTGTGCCACCGACGCACACTTGAATATATAATATAGGGACAACAGCAACAATCATCTTTCAGTGGCTGAAAATAACTACCACATGATTAGTTAATAAAAATTTGTTTAAATCACAAATTGGAAGACTGTGCTCATTTTGATTTAGTGGTAACTGAAGTTAGATTGATGTGAAACAGTGGGTTATTTGAGCTAAAAATATACAACAGAACTATCTTAAATCCATTTTCTCCCAGGATTTCAGATAAAATAAGAATACACAACCATCTTCACTTTAACTTTTTACTATACTAGCTATCCATTCACGTGATTCAGTCTTTTTTTAAACTGACCAACGGTGCTGTTATGAAGTAAGAATATGGATGTCAACCAGACTTTTTCGGATGACTGATCTTAACTGTCATTCAAGATCTTTCGAAATATTTCAAAATAACTTAAGAATTCAATTTGCGCCTTTTGTAACAAATCAATATCGCAATTATGATTGCTCAAGTGAAAGACAAGCTATCTAGCTGTGCCACATCTATGTGTATCTATAAATTTAATTGCTCCTGTGGAGAGAGCTATATAGGCCGAACAACTAGGCAGCTTAACAAACGCATTAATGAGCATCTACCTTCATGGTTTGGAAAAGGTCAAATAAAATCTATAAGAAGTTCTATTTCGGCCCATTTGATTGATAGCGGTCACCAAGTGGACAAAAATAGTGCCTTCAAAGTTATCTATCGCATTCCATCGAGTCTTTCGAACGGAATCAGAACCCGTCTTTTACACTTAGCCGAAGAAATGGGAATTCGAGAGAACAATCCTAGTCTTTGCAAACAAAAGAAGTTTGTTCTACCTTGGCCTAGGTGAATTCTATTCAAAACCCTCCCACCCTTTCTTATCTTCCATCTCCGTATTTTTATGATATTTATTTAAACTCTGATTATCTGTCCATTTCACCTTTAGTATTACGAAACTTTTAAGATTTGACCTAATTTATTTATTGAATTGTCTACATATACACATATTACTACCTTTGTTGTTCTTATCGCCACCTGCAAAAACCTTATTATCATCAATATTTTGTTATCATTATAATCATCGTTATTAATTTCGTTCAAAACATTTACCACATTATTATTATTATTGCTATTATTTGATACACAAAATCACTGCCATTGCCCAAAAATTTTTATATATAAATCTATGTAAATTAGAGTAAAGCCTGAATAAGATCTAATTGAAAACAATATTGTTCACTCATATGTCTTGTTCTGAAGTAAAAAAGTATTAGAAAAATCGGTGGTTATAAAACAGAAAGGGAAATGAGCAGACTTACTGAATTAAATATGTCAACATCTGTGTAAGCTTTAGAGAGTAATCTGACAGTAGGATAATCCCCTTGTATTGCAGCAATATGCAGGGGTGTATTACCTCCCTTGATAAAAATTAATAAACAAAAATCATCATTAATTTTTGTACTGATGTGATAAATTGAACATCTCCTCATAACCACAATTAAACATTCAACAGGTAAATCTGTAAAGGTGTACTTCCGATAACTACTATCTACTAACTATCTATTATTCTCTTGCTTTCTTTGAATATTAACTCACTTTATATTATACTACTTAGCTAAAGCACTGTTTTTGATAAGTTTGTCATGTCATATCAACCTATCTCACGCGTCGAAAGCTTTCAGAATTACTAGAAGTGCCTCACATAATAAAAAATGTTCATGAATACTTTGATTGGACACTAGTAATTAGTGTGATATGTCTAGTTCTTTCATCCGTGGAGACTGAATTATATCAGTTAGGTTTACAATGTAGCCACCATGCCACTAGGTGGCTCACCATCATGGTGCACATTGGTTTGATGATATTAGAGAGTTGGAGGCAATCGATAGGGGAACAAGTTCCTTCAAGGTTGCAGATACGCCTTTCTGACTGGTGAGTGCCAATTAGCACGAAACCTAGGTCGACGACTTCCAGCCAGTTGCCTCCAGCCATCTAATAAGTTCATGAACGTTATGAATGCTAATAAATTTTAAAAAAAACAAGAAGAAAATTAGTCAGTATTAGCATTTTTCCAACAGTAAATTGTCTTTATTGAAAAGCATTTGCAATACTTGTTGTGTTCTAATTTGATTTGTGTAAAGACCTTCTGTTTTCAGATCCTACACCGTTGTTAAGGCTTCAAGGGGACCGTTGTTATATTATTATTCTTCCCTTTGGGCTTCTACAGTACATCACCATTTTACTCTCTTATCTGGTCTTTTCTTTCGTTAATTCTACAATTTTCTATAAACCATTAATTCATCCTTCCACTATCACCTAGTTGTCACTCTCGAACCCACAACTTATCATTTTTCATTCCTGTCCTACTCAAAGGACCTGGTGTGTCATGTCAGTCAGCGGTCTCTCTAGCGTATGTCCAGTTCCTCTCCATCTTTCTAAGCATATCTGAAGGACACCAGATTCCTGGTTAGTTCGTTTCAACTTGAAGGCCTTTATTTCTTATCCTTTCAAATTAGCCATTTGATATGGAGAGAAAGCAGCTGTAAGTGCAAGTCTTCAGCCTGCTGCAAATGCTATTCTTAACACGCACCAGAAGTCTTTAAACCATGTGGAAGTGCTACGGTTGCAAATAATAGAATTGGTACGGGTCTTTATAATGTTTGGAAAATTACATTATATTTATCCATTTTAAACACATTTAAAGTCGGTTAGGTCAGTGAACAGTAAACTTCTCTGACTGGTTGGTGATTGGCCCAAGGTCAAACAATGGGACAAAATGTTGTCCAGTGTGATTATTTCATGTTCACAGATTTCAGGGAGGAGTACTTCTACCTCTGCAACCATCGACTTAAAATGTTGATTTCAATTTTTGGTTGATTCCTGTCAATCTGCATCTATTTGCTATCAATAAATCTTTTCAGTAGCACGCGTCACAGAAGCGTCACATTAATGTTGAAATTTTGACCCTATTCCTTTTGCTATGCGCTGATTTCAGAGTCACGAACGCCTGTCTTACTTTTCTGAACCTGCTTTTGGTACAGTAATCCATACCACCATCTACGGTTGGAATAGTGCAGCCGAGGCAAGCGTAAGAGACGAGTTTCTTTAGATTTCTCGCGGTGATGGTGACCGGTGCTTACTGTTGTTGATTAGGTCTCCTCATAACTTCCATCTTCTCTGTTTTCCCCTTAAATCGCGTCTGGTCTGCCTCTAGCACTAACCTGTTGGCTTTCGCTAGTAGACCTTAGAGTCTGTCACACTGATATAATAGAATTCGAATTTTTCTAGCCAGTTATCACTTATGAAGAGAAAGAAGGAACGAGCCATCGACTCCTCAATGTGATATCTGACTTCTGCTGCATTCGTAAGACAGTAGATATAGTGGGCATTGAACATTGGCTTGCATTTGAAAGAAATTATCATAAGTTAGATGACAACACAAATGACTCTGACAGAAGAAACTTAATTTCGGAAACTTTTCGCTGACTTTGGATCACCATTTCTTAACTTAAAAATGGTCTTCGAGAAGTATTTTAACCGTTTTTCAGTTCAAATAATTTTCGTTTATAATAATTTACATAACTTTAGGTAGCTAGCAGCTGAAGAGAAGCCATGAAATAAAAATGAACTGTTTTTTATTCTGCAGATACATCCGTTCTTGCTTTGTTCAAAATAAACACGGGAATAAGGTGTGCGATAATTCAAGACCTTTGCAGCAGTACAATTAACTTATGTAATTGCTTGTAGTAATACCTTATTGCTGAAGTATTAACTAGTTAATAACTATTAATTTATTTTTATCTCCAAACCCTAAGAAACATCAAGATTTTCACGAGTTGATCACGGAATGATATCAGTTAGAGAACCATTGAAAACCAGCACTGGAGTACTGGACAGCTGTTTCATCCTAGTCTGGGAATCATGTGCTATACTCACCCACTGGGTTCTACTCGTAAAAAACAGATCTAATCCTTACAGACCAACTACAGAAAATTAATCTGATGCTTGCTAGTGACTTGCTACAGAATAGAATTTCCTGGAGTTCTAATGAGAAGTCATGACCAGCGAGGTCCATCCAGATGTCACGTGGGAGGATGGATGTCCCACCGATAACATTGGTTGTGGTCGCGCTAAATCAAGAAATGGTAGAAGTTAGAATTCATGGACTGGCCATTGAGTCGGGTCCCAGTGACTGAATGGTATACGTGTTCGGCTTGTAATTGGAAGGTCCTGGGTTCTAACCTTGTTGGTGGGGCGTACTTCCGATGATTCTCAAACTAGAATGAAACAGCTGTTCAGTGCTCTAATGCTGGTTCTTAATGGTTCTCTAACTGTTATCAATCTGTGATCAACTCACAGAAACAAAACTAACCCTTACAAACCAAACTATAGAAAACAACACGATTATAAGTAAAATGAGTTGCGGAGTATTTATTCAGAGAATATGTGCAGTAATAATAATAATAGATTGTGTTCCAAACAAACGAAATAAGTTTCTGGTATTTAGATATCCCAGTCCTGATATTCAACTTCGTAAAGTAGTCAACAACATAAACTGAACTGACCTTAGTCTAGAAAAAATACTTCAAGGAATAGTACAAATGCAGTCATTTTTATGGTATCTTATTTCACAATAACGTAGATTCATAACTGTTATTTAATCACCTTTAAATATTGAGAAAAGTAATTTCTACTTATCTTACCTCATCAGTAACATCTGCTCGTGCACCAGATCGTAGTAACGCGTGTACACAACTCTCTGAACCAGTAAACACTGCACATAGTAGAGGTGTTTTACGATCCTATTGAAAATATATATTTTTTAAAGAAACACTTCAGTAAGAGACTTTCAGTCAAACAAACACATAAGTAAGATAAATCAAAAAGTATCTGAACCCTGGGATGTAAAACCCACCCAGCCTTCCAGTAGTAGTTCTGTGACGATAAATACAAAACGTCCACTTGTTAAATTACCAATTGAATAGTCAAAGAAGAACATCTCAACCAGTCAGGATTTTTTTTATTACACTAGTCATGTGTTACCTGTGTAAAACAAGCATTTCATACTATATTTTAAAATGTCTTTTTATTTATCAAATAATAATCTACAGTCCAATGACTAGCTAGACAAAGTGAAGATATAGACCAACTACTACATCAAAGTAGAAATTCACATGCACCAAAACAAAAAAATTGCAAATGCCACAGTTTCCCTCTTTTTTTTTTATCTGCCTCTTTCTCTCTCCCCTGTAGCTTAGTCATCTATCTATTCAGGTATATTTGTACTTTTAGTCGAAATGACTCTATCGTCATGTACTACAGAAGTAAACATTTCTATGCTTTTTATTTGGCTATATCGGTTTTACACAGACAATGACCATTTCTAGTCTGAGAAAAAGTTTACTAGACTTGACAAAACTTCAATGAAGAATACATGTACAAGTAGATTTATATTTTACGCATGAGTTGTCATTAGAATAATACATAAACATATTATTCCTTACAAGAATTGTTAATGTTTATTACACGTTTTTTTTTTGTTGTTGTTGTTATTTTGTTGTTTTTTACTTAATAAACATGACTAGCAAACAAAAATGATAACAACCGTTATCATGTTTTGTCATAGTTAAATATAGTGAAAAACAGTATTCCTGAAGTTAATTCTAATACGTCAGTGGTTCTTCAGTGGTAGAATGCTCGCCAGCGCTGTCGAAGACCTGAGGTTCGATTCCCCGCGGATCCACTCCTAAACCTAAGATATACGTGCTTTTAAGCTTCAGAAAACGGGGCAAAGATGTGCATGAGGCTAGCAAACCCATCTCTTAAAACAGCACACCATTGCTACTATGGATTCAGAGCTTGAAACCTTATGCTCCCTTCAGTGCGCATGAAATGAAAACAAGTCCATTTCATAAAAGCATAAATTTCTTATTTTAAAACACGTTACAACTGATTAATAGTAGAAGTAGACGGTGAATGCTTGATGCTTGATTTCCTTAGCGGGTAATCAACAGGCTGTTGTTTCCAATGGAACAAGCATTCTAACAATGATTTTAGTCGTGATTTAGAAAGCATCTTACCGACAAACTTTTCAGTTGACTTGCAAAAAGAAAGAACATATCCCACTATGACTAAGTAGAGGTGTAGTTAAAACCATTAACAGTTCAATATTGAACCATCTGGTGCAAACCGGTCACAAAGTCAGCCAGCGTGGAAGAATCCTTCTCTATCATCTACCAGGTGCCTAATAAATTGCTAAAATCATCGAAGCACCGCATGCTACAAACAGCAGAGGCTATTGCAATTCGCCTCAAACAACCAGTGCTCTCTGTGTTCAAAAGAAGCAAGTTCAGATAGCCTCTTCTACTACTACTCTGATTGGCCCTAAGTAGAGACTATAAATTCATGAATTTGTAATATTATCTTTCCTAATTCAACTGACATCCAGATTATTTTGTGTTGATGCTAATGAGCTATAATCTATCAATATTATTGATTTGATGTTATATAAATAGCAACATTAATGTTGTTCATAACACTGATTCATTCATTCATTCACTATAATGTATACATAACTGTAGAACCTGATGAAGAACAGGTTGTCGAAAACAGTATTCTTTGTTCAGTATCAATTCTTTTGAAAGAGATATTGCTTAGTTTTATTATTTCATCATTCAGTAGTTATTGAGAAATGTATGTCACAGCTCAAAATACATTAAAGTATCACTGAGAAGAGGACTATCCATTGTCTTGGCGATACTTTAATCTATTGTTGACAGATATATAGCTTGTTTAGGCGTAGTCAACGATGGGATCTAGAAACAATGACTATTATTCTTCTAATCAACCATCAATCATTTGTATTGTAGATATAAATTAAGCGGCAAAACTAATACAGGTGTTTTCTGTCAAGTGGAATCAACAATAGAAAAGTTTAACAATGCTTCACTGGCTTTGAAAGGCTTGGAAAAATTCAATAAATCAATAGTTTGCTAATGATTTGCTACTATTTTTGTATTACCGCTGCTTGAATCTTGTTTAGTTCTTCAAAACATCAACAGAAAGAACAATGTATATACCATTGACATATATAACTATTAAAAGACGAAAACAGTTGTAAAGCTTCGTTTCTTTTTACCTTATTTCTAACTTCCAAAGGTGCTCCTGCGTTGCAAAGCGACAATACTACATTTGATCGATCATTTATACAAGCCAAATGTAAAGGTGTATTACCATTCTAGAAGACAAAAATGAAAATAATTCAGTGATTAGGCAACAATCCAACGAAGGAAATTAAAGGATTCGTTTGACAGTATTCAAATGCTACATAAGCATTGTAGAAACTGTTTACAATGTTTAATATATAAATTTCATAAACAATTAAAAATCTCAGCTGAGCCACCTACACTGCTCTATTTGTTGAATAAGACTAACAGTGATAGATGCCAGGTGCAGAGATTGAAATTAAGCCATATTTCAGCTAATATTCTTTTCCTCAAGGAGTATGGCTGTCATAGACCAATGCAAATGGGAAAAACAAACCACAGGCAATAAAACGCTTACCTCTGACAAACATTTTATTCCTCCTGATAGCTAAACCCATTCATTATTACTGAAAATGTCAACATTAAGACTTTTCATTATAATTGATGGATAATTCAGTTAATAAAATTGTAGGCGAATTGTTTTTTCACCGTGTCATTTGTATGAATTTTTCACCTTAATTTTACTCTGTGGGATGCAATTAAAATTTAATTAAACTCGTGTTTTATAGTTTGAACTTAAAGTACCTTTCACAGGTTGTTCATTTTGAAGAGATAGTTTCATAAAATATGTCACATTATCTCAATGTGCATTTTATCACGAATCAGTATCAGTCAGAAATCATTTAAAACCATGAAACAATAGACAGCTATTTCGTCATAGTTTGGGACCCTTCAACAGTGCACGGCTGAGACCCCCGCAGGGAATGAACTTGAAAATTAAACCACCTGGGCTGGAATTGAGTGAACTGTAATTTATAACCTTATCACTTCCTGATGTCAAACTAATGCCTTTGATGAGCATATGCTCCACCTTAACGTGCTCGTTCCCACTAGCCATGAATTCTCAGTACAGCTTCAGGACATCCATCTAGTAGACGTCAGTGAGGTCCAAGTTATGGCTTTTTCTGGGGATTTTGATCAATTTAAAAACAAATGTCGTCAGCAACGATCTTTAGATGATGTCGGTTCGTAAAAAAATCCCTACAAAATCTAATCATCTAAATGTCACATTAACTTCAGTGTATGTATACTAGACAAAACCTGAAATTCTAATGCGTATGTTACATGTACTGTCGTATACACTTCACCACTTTAACTTGAATCATCGCATCAAACTGACGTAAGTTTGTGACAGTTTTTATAAATATTCTGAATTAGTTGTGCATCAGTGACACAGTAGTAGAATGCTCACCGACGACACATGTTTTTCGGGGTTCGAACCCCGGCCGAGGCACACCTTTTCCTTTCTAGGCGAATAATAAGAGTGGTAAAGAGGGAAGGCTGGGCATAAGGCTAGCTACACCATCCCGTAAAAACTGAAACACCACAGCTACCAAAACTTCAAAGCCCTAGAATCTCGAAGTCCTATTTTCCACTGCGAATGTTTAAGAAATAAAGTACAAATAATAAAACAATGTAGCATTTTGTATTAGTGGACTGTTCAACAAATGGAGCCCGATGAGCGCGATGTACAAATAAGTGACAGTAGTGATGTATTACTCAACTGAAGAATCATTTTCGATATCTATAAATGCCTGTGGACAACCATAAATGGCATGAAAAGTACTCTAATGGTTCCTTTCTGGAATACAAAAACTTTTCATGGAAACAAGATCAGGGCAATAATATCACCATGGATACATGTTTAAAAATGAAACGGACATACTGCTCACTGGGCAGATCATTATTAATAATGATATGACCTAAAACATCAACCACACCGCATGTAGAAATCATATCATGTAAGAAATATTATTCTTAATCACTATCAAGGTTTGATTGCATGAAGGATTTCATCATGAGCTGACATCAGTTACAGAACCAATGAAAAACCCTCTGGGAGTACTGGACAGCTGTTTCGTCCTAGTTTGTGACTCTCCAGCGGTACGCACCCACCAACGAGGTTCAAACCCAGGACTTTCTGTTTACAAGACGAGCTCGTAGATCATTGAGCTACTGGGAATCGTTCCAATGGTCCTTGAATTCTAACTTCTACCAATTCACGACATAGCGCGACCATTTCGCAATGTCTTCTTCGATGAGTTACTGCTTCATTTTCAGCCTGCTGTACCCTACTGGTCGCAACTTCCCACCTGAACCCCATGTTAACTGCCTGAATAGGGCCAGTTACTAGTGAGCATCAGGTTAATTTTCAAGTATTGATTTTGTAGGGATTATGTGTTTGATTGCATGGAGGATTTCATCATGAGCTGACATCAGTTAGCTATCAAGGTGATAAGTAACATGAATGGTAGAACAACATCGATGAATGACAAGCCAATAGATACATAAGAATGTTTCATTACTTTTTGTTTGAATGTGTAAAACTGTATTCTTGATTAGTTGATGATTTTTCAATGGAAGCTGTCTTGAATAAAGAATCAAACAGGAATGATAAATAGGATAGGGAAAAGAAGAGCTGACAAAGCACTTAGGTGTGACAAATACTTTACATTAAATCTAATCGCTCCTATTTATTATGCTAACTGTTAATTCAGTTTATCACTTTTGGCTTATAAATCACATTTTGTATAGCATCATAAATCAAAGCAACAGGGAAAAAACGCCCTTAATGTTTTATAACACTTAAACGGAGGGAATACATTACAAAACAACAAATAGACAAAACAAGCAAAATAATCCCTAAAGTCATTTGTTAATGCTCCTAAATCAATATTCACTTTGTTTTGTTTGTTTGTTTTTTTCTTCTTATATTTTCTTATGATTATTGTTTACTGTTGTTAAATGTAGTATAGGCGAGTTCTCTGCTTTCCCTCTGCTTACCTTCTTTCTACTTCTCACTTTGACGTGTGCTTTCTTCTTCAGAGTGTGTTCGTTTTGATAATCTTAATTAATCCCAAATGAAGGTTAATCAACATGAGCATATACCTAGTATGCCTTGAAAATAGCAAGGGGGGAAGTATCGACAGAATAGTTTCTTCAACGAAATCAACAATAGTTTACCTATGCAGTGTGTTGACAAAGTTGAGATTCAAAACAACTGAAAGATGTACTCTGTGAAATCACGCATGCATGAATGTGTTCCACATGCTACAGGGGATTTTAATTTTATCTTCCCAATGATAAGGATTTTATTGCTATATGATACATAGAGTTTATGTTAAACATACTCTGTTATTTATTTTCATTTATTTAGCTTGCTTAGAAAGTAGACAACAGAAGTAAGTCAGTAGAAAACTCTGAAGCTAGTTTTAATGTTTGCAGGCATTTATCCTAAGGAAATTTATGTCTCTCTAGGGATTTAAACCTTCATCATTCAGTTTTCAGTTTATTATCACTAACATTAGGTTATTTGGGCGAAAAAGAAACGTCACACTTATTGTTTAGAAATGGCATTATATCTGTCACATCTGTTAGTGTCTAGTAATCACTTTGTACATATCGCCCAGTTTCACAAAGTGTCAGTGATGTTTTGAATAGTTTGGTGGAAATATCACACACACACACATCCTAGAGCTGAAGATAGTAAGTTTGAACCTATCCCTAAAGTATTTTTAACAAATAAATATATTCACGTTTTGAAGAATATAGAGACATAAGTGATATATCATTACACTGAATCCAACCAAGAATAAATGTTGACTGAAATCCCAGTACTTTAGTTAAATAGTGTGAAAACGCCCAACTATTATTGCATATTCACCTAAATATCGTCAAACTTAAAAGCATGGAATAACAACAGACCTAAAGTGGATTAAAATTCGATGGAAAGTGTCAGTAGCTATTAGGTCTTAATTCTGAAATATTTAACTGTCTATTTCAGATTCAAAATCAGAAGAAATGAACACTGTAGAGCATCTCTTCGACCACTGAGAAATCCAGTTAGTGAACTAGAAAAACTCGAAAAATCATCAGTCATAGGTTGTCTACACGCTATAGAATCAACCCACAAAATTGATTTTGACAATATTGAAATAATCCAGAAAAAGCATTTCAGAAATCACAAAGAACGTCTAATATCAGAAGCACTTCATATCAAGTGGAATCCAAATTGCCTAAATAAGAATGATGGACTAAAACAGAATTCGACCTGGTTAAAACTCCCCCCCCTCCCTCATGAAGTGACAAAATCAACACGAATGTAATAAGCAATATCATTATATAAACACACGCTGTTTTGTAATTTTACACACCTATCAAATCCAAAAATTTACACTTGATTTTTTTATCTTTACCAATTGACCAACTTGACAACGAAAAGTGACCTCAGACAGACGAACGATGATCAAGTTAGTAAACTTTGTTATGATATCATAACAGATGTACTATGGCCTTTTGTTATTTGGTTTAGTGATCTTCATTGTTATTTTGACTTTCAGTATAATACTTTGATAAAGCTATCAGCAATAAATAGTGAAACGTCAGTAAAAACAATATCGTTTTGTTTCTCATTTAATGGGAAAACCTTTATCATAATGAATATCATGTATCCAATGCCCAAATTTTTTCAAACCGTTAAAAGTGAACTTCGTTTGGATACATATTTCAGATTTTCTTGAAAGTCACTGTAATTTCATTTTAGTCCTTAGGAACCAACTGATAGTCTTTGATTTCCATTTTAAAAATGACCAGTCCCATGAATTCGATGTCAGTACAAATACTGTCTCAATGCAGATTTTGTCAAAAAATACTATGAGAATCACAAAAACCGAGGATACTGGACAGATTTTTCGCTGCAGTTTAACACTCTTCACCAGTGAATAATCGCGAACTCACCAGAGACCGAACGCGGCATCTTCCGGTTACGAATCAAGATTGTTGACCATTCACTCCCTGCAGGTGAGTTTCAACTTCATTTTGTGATCTAGCCATTAGGCAAAACGATGTAGCAGAAATCCGTCCACTTTAACCTGATATGATGAAACCCACAGATCAAGACTTCTGATTAATATTATAGAACATCTATCTTGTAGTCACCAATTAGTTGGAGGCTGATATTCGGATTCGTTTC